TTTTTTTTTTTTTTATACACTCAAGATAACTCAATGCAGGTTTATTACCCTGGAGACTTGCAGTCATATTCTAATAACTTTCAAGGGCGAACATACTAGAGTGCAGCGTCACGATCTTGGCTTGTGGGTTCTATGTATCTTTTTTCTTTGTTTGTCTTGATCTTTTTTTTTTTTTTTTTTTTTGTACACTCTACAGAAATCCCACTCTGTTCCATGGCAAGCAGGGCCTAAGAAGATAAGTTAAACTTAAATATGTCCCCCATAGTATTTCTATCAGAGAACCCAGAGAGCATTCTTATAGACGCTCAGGTTCTTGAGGACAAAATTTACGAAACAAATAGCACATTGCTTTTTCATAAGGTTGCAACTGTTTCTGACAAACTGACAAGGTAAGCTGAGACACAGCACACTGTGCCTGGTGGGAGACCACTGAGGTGTGACTCTTGCCTCTCTCAGTTAATAGCTAGGAGACTTAAGGAAAAGTGTTTACTTCTCCGCTTCAAGTTTATATCCAATTAGGAAAATAATAGATGAGCTGCTTACCACAAATCAAATGAAAAATGTATCCAAATGCTTTTTAAACTTTTGACAGCTATACAGTAAAAAGTGAACAAATTATGATGGAATTTGTATTATGCTACTTTCAACTTAACCTTAGTAAAGAAATTAGTCTAAGTCTATTTTATCTTTCAATATGACCTTTAGATTATCATTAATCATTAAGTATATCTGTATGAATTATGTTACATTGCTAAGGCTTAGTTTCCTCACTTAAAAATGAGAACAAATATTTCTACCTCATAGGATTGATTTAAGCACTGCAGAAGTCAATGTGTATAAAGCACATAATGAATGTTAGCTGTGATTTGCTTTTTTATAATCATTTGACTATGAAAATATTGCAAAGATGGAAGTTAAATCCAATGTAAGAAATATAAACCGAAATATCACTAATACATATTTTTAAAAGCATGTTTAAATAAAACTAAAGGGTAGTCAGAGTAACAAGACACAAAAACACACATACACCCACACAGAGACTTGATTTAGTATAGAATTCTTCAGTGAAAACAAATGATTTTAAGACTTTACCTTAAAAGTTTGGATTACTATATATTTTGGTATATCTAAATCTTGAAGACTTCTAAGTTACAAAGAGTAAGAAAATTTTAAAATAAACTTACTTCTGCCACACAACGTAGATAATTTCCCTGTAAATAATAACCTTGTTTAGAAGGCAGTTCATCTATACTCCACACCTGATCCGAATAACTATCATGTTCTTCCATTATGTATTTCCCTGACATGGTAACAGGAGGAAGGTTAAGACTGGCAGAAGGAGGAATGGTTGACATATCTGTGGCAGAAACTTTTGAAGTAAAACGCAATCTGTGATTTGGCAGCTCAAATGTAAATCTTGTCTGTGCACCTGTGAGAAATGAGAAGTTATTGTTCATGCTAGTGTTCATTTACTCATTCATTCCTCCCCTTTTCAAAAAAGGGTATCTAAGAAAAATGCATGGATATTCCCAAACCTATCTTAAAATATATGAAAGGATATTTTAAAGTTGCTTATAAAATATTGCCTATCTTTAAATATGCAAGTCAATCAGCAAGTATTATTAAGCCAGTATTATTTATTAAGGCTGGCAGTGTGTTAGGCACTAGAAAAACACCTATGTTCTTTATTTCATAGAAGGTAGAACAGAAAGTGCCCTTATTATAGAAGAATTATAATGAGAAAATTAATCAAGTTTAAAAAAATCTCCCAGTACACAGTGCTTTATTCACAGAGAATAGTTAGTGGTTAACAATGTGTCTACTGATCCTGATTCAGTGTGGAAAAAGCAAAAATTGTCAAATCAATTAAATGGTACTCACTGAAATGTTCATTAAGTATAAAGTTACACAAACATGTCTCTTTGACCTTAATAATTATTCATGGGACCATTAATCAAATAATATGTTATGAATTTTAGTTTACTATTGACCTTAAACACTTAAATCAATAATCTGGCACATAATTGTTCAAACAAATATAAATATACAATCTTCACTATTATGCAGTCCATATTTCTCCAACTGTTTATGAGGGCATGAAGAGAAGCCTTATTAAAATCAAGATCTGTTACTACCCTTTATACATGTAATGTACATACACATGCTCCTTTCAGACCAACAAAATCTACTGATATTCTTCTGTAGGTTACCAATTGTCTCCACTCAAACATATCGAATTGCCTATTTAGCCTACTATGTAATTTATTACATATTTCTATTGCTCTCAACTGAACCAGAAATAATTCTTTTTTCAAAATACTAATCAAGGATCAGCTCTTAAATGTGACATTCACTACATTTATTAACTATAATGTTTGCGCCTGGAATGAATTAGCCAAAAACAGAAAAAGATTCACCAACTGGGGCATCTGTGAATGGCCAGATGAGTCATGACTGCCCTGATCTCTTCTTACTACTCTAACCAGGAGACTCCTTGACTATCATTTACAAGCTGCAAGGGGTGGGGACTGTCTACCACTGTTGCTACCACCACTACTATTGCTAGCACACCACCAAATAAAACCACCAAGACTGCAGCAATCCTAGGCCTTGGTTACTGAGTCATCCCTTATTACTAGTATAGTAATTCTTTTACTGCTTTTATCCCTTTCCTTCAATTTCAGTAAGAATTTTGGGTTCTTTCTTCTCTGGATATTTAACAATATGCTTAACTCTAGGATCCTAAACTGTCTATCTGGCTTTGGACTTGCTGCTTCTGTTGATCCTTGTATCATGGGTGCCCTGAATAAATGGCCAAATGTGTTTAACTTATTGCCAGCCCTGGACTCTAATCTTAAGGCCTAAGACTTCTGACTCTTGTCAAATCTGGAAACTTACTTTAAAATGCTTCTGGTTCTGGTAATATAAAGGTCTAAATGTGCAGAAAAACTGCTCTTAAAAAAGAGAGCCTAAAATGCTAGGGATGGTAGCACATATACAGTAGTCTCCCTTTATTTGGGGAAGATGTGTTCTAAGATCCCCAGTGGATGCCTGACACTATGGATAGTACCAAACCCTATAAATAATATGTTTTTTCCTCTACATACATTCCTATAAAATTTAATATATAAATTAGGCATGACAAGAGATTAACAACAATAACAAAATAGAACAATTATACTGTAACAAAAGTTATATAAATATCTTTGTAAATATGGTCTCTCTCAAAATATCTTATTGTACGTAGTATTTTTGGACCACAGTTGACCACAGATAACTGAAACGTGAAGAGACAAACACATGAATAAGCGGGGACTACGGTATACACATATAAATACGTACATTTGTGTATATATAGATATATATGTATATATATTTTTAAATTATGTTAACAGAATAAAGGAGAAAATATATTTTCATTTCATTAGATACAGAACAAAGTATCTGATTACATTCACCAATAATTCTTCATAGAAACTCTTAGCACAGTGGGAAAATAAGTACATTGTCTTAACCTGATAGCAGAAACCTACAACAGACATCAGATTCATTCATGTAACGTTGAGTCCTTTAAGAAAATGGGACAAGGCAAGCACAATAAGGCAAGAAAAAAAAAGTTGAAAAGAAACAAAAGTATCATTGTTTACTGTTTAAACAGTATGACTGTCCATAGACACAACTCCTAAGAATCTACAACTTATTGGTAATAATAGTTTAATGTGGTTGCTGAGTATCAGATTAACATAAAAGCATCAAGCACATTTGTACAGACTACCAACAATTGAGAAAAATGCAACTTTACAAAAGATAACATTTGTAATTGCTACAACACAATATACCTGGATATCAAAATAAATAAATACATCTTGCAAAAGATGCACAAAAATCTTGAAGTAGAAAAATTTTAAATTTTATATAAAAAATTAAAGAAGACCTAAACAACAGAAAAATAAGACTTAGGAATAGGAAGGTTGAATATTGTTTAGTTGTCATTTCTCCTCAAATAAATCTATAGATTCAATTAAGTTCCTATAAAAATCTAAACAGCCTTTTTCAGGGAACTTAACAAACTGATCCTAAAATATTTATGAGGCCAGGCACAGTGGCTGATGCCTGAAATCCCAGCACTTTGGGAGACCAAGGCAGGCAGACAGCTTGAGGCCAGGAGTTGGACACCAGCCTGGGCAAACATAGTGAAATCCCACCATCTCTACAAAAAATTTAAAAATTAGCTGGACATGGTGGTACATGTCTATAGTCCCAGCTACTCACAGGGCGAGATTAGAGGATCACTTGAGGTCAAGGCTGCAGAGAGCTGTAATCACACCACTGCCCTCCAGCCTGGGCAACAGTGAGACCCTATCTCAAAAAAATAAAATAAAATAAAATAAAATAAAATGTATATGAAAGAGCAACAAAAAGACCCAGGACAATTCCTCAAAAAGAAAAAGTCAGGCAGCAGCATGATACTGGTACAAAGAGATCAATGAAGCAGAACAGAAAACTCAGAAGTAGATTCCCACATTAAAAACAACACTTAGGGCCGGGCGCGGTGGCTCAAGCCTGTAATCCCAGCACTTTGGGAGGCCGAGGCAGGTGGATCACGAGGTCAAGAGATCGAGACCATCCTGG